CTCTGGTATGCTTTGCCAACAACTGCTCATGGGTAAGGAAACAGGTGTGGCACCTGACAGCTGTTAGGATAAAGTGGAGAGAACATTATTCAACAGTTCTGTCAAAATAGCATGAAAAAACAACAAAAAAACTAGGTCATATAGGTATGAAAGTTGCATGTCTGAATGGATGTGTTCACTGTTGCTTTTATTTGGATTACAACTATGAATGTAAGCTTTGATAGTATCTGTCTTCTTATCTGGTAGAAAGCTGTCTCCTGTAGAATCAGGGTAGATTACCAAGGATATTCTAAGGTGGAAAGCTTGATTCTTTTTCATGTAGGCAATTTGGAAGTTGATCTGGGAAGCACAGATTGGAAAACACTGTCATACGGGACAAATAGTATATGACTGCTGAGGAGGTTGGCTGCATATATAAAGACCATATAGAAATGATACAATCATATGTTTATCTTTCATATTTGGTGTGGATCATTGTTCAAGTTTTTTCTTAAAGAAAGTGTTAATGTACTTTTTTATAGGAAAGTATACCAAAATTATTGGGAAGAATAACTATATCAGAAATACGTTAGTTGTGAAATAAAATACTGTAGATTATGATAGGATTTTAAAATCAAAATATGAGACACAAATACTGCTTAAGCTCTAGTGGATGGGGAAATATTTGCACTCATCTTTATAAGTGAAGGAACTGCAAAATCTGAAATGACTTGCTTTTGGGGCAGTTGTCTCTTCAGACTGATCTTGGTAAGTAAGCTGACAGAAGTTTGACCTTTTTGGTGCCCATGATGCCAAGATCTAATGCTGTCTTGTAGATGTAGTCTGATGTCAGTGCATGTCGTATGAAATATGTTCTTGGCTAGAGAATATTTTATCTGGTTCTCTACGTTTTTCCTTGATGCTTCATACATGGGTTGGCATACTAAGCATAAGGCATGAATTTATTTCTTTGTTTTCACTTAGGTAGAAAAGAGATTAGCCCTTTTTTGGATTGCAGTTGGATATATTATGCAAAATGTTTAGACTCAGAAACAAAGGAAAAGCAAAAACTATTTGCATTGGCTTGTGCCGTGGAAATTAAGTTTCCAAGAAGGAACAAAGGATCGGTTACATGAGTCTCCCCTTGCAGGGCGGGGTCTGAGTGCCGCAGCTTTGGCACAGATAGAGGCTGCTGCAGAGTTCAATTGGGAAGACTACCTCAGGGAAACCAACTCCATACCCTCACCTGCCAAATGCTTCAAACAGGTAACACTTACACCTGCAGGAGTTTGGGTTTTTGTTTTGCGCTGACTGTTCTTTTTCTTCTTTCCTTCCAATCTCTTCTTGTCACTCAACTTCTGTTGCTCCAATTTCTTGCACACTGTCTATTTTTTCCCCCTTCTCTCCTGTATTCTCTTTTGTTTGCCTCTCTCCTGTTGCCTTCTCTCTTCTACCCTTATTCTCATCCATTTCCCGTTTATCCTTCCTTTCTCTGTTGCATTGCTATAATTACTTTTAAAACTTGGAGGAAGCATTATTGTTGCATCTTGCCTGACTCTAAGCCTCGTCTTTCTTTTCCTCCCCCCCCCCCCTTCCCACAGCACAAAATCCCCCCCAAGAATGAGTTCAAGATCGGCATGAAACTGGAGGCCTTGGACCCGCGAAACCTGACGTCCACTTGCATCGCTACAGTGGTAGGCACACTAGGCCCTAGGCTGAGACTCAGGCTTGATGGCTCTGACAACAAGAATGACTTCTGGCGCTTGGTAGACTGCAACAATGAGATCCACCCTATTGGACATTGTGAGGAGCATGGAGGAATGCTGCAACCACCCCTTGGTAAGACTGTACATATTTCCTTCAAAAAAGTGTGTTGTTCTTAATTTGATTTCTTTCATCATTTTTTATGTGTAAATATGCAGGTTTAGGTAAATTTTCATGAAAAACACAATAATGCAAGTCTTTGTGAATGCTCCTTCTAGGCTTCCGCATGAACGCATCATCCTGGCCAATGTTCCTCCTAAAGACGCTGCAGAATGCAGAGGTTTCCCCTCCACACATATTTCGCACAGAGCCGCCCACGCCTGCCAAGAACTACTTTGAAGTTGGCATGAAGCTAGAAGCGGTTGACAAGAAGAATCCCCAGCTCATTTGTGCTGCAACTGTTGGTGAGTCACAGAGACAAACTCCTGCTTTTCTTTTGGCCTTTTTAGAAGGGCCAATTTTTTTGGTAGAAATTATTTTCATTGGTGTTTGTGATGGCTTGACTTTCTTGCTGATTAAAAACTTTTTGAAGTAGTGGGCTGGTGTGCTATGTCAGGGCACCCTCTGCAGCCCCCAGGCCAGATGTGTGAGTGGCTTTGTTTTTTCTTTTGGCCTTTTTAGAAGGGCCAATTTTTTTGGTAGAAATTATTTTCATTGGTGTTTGTGATGGCTTGACTTTCTTGCTGATTAAAAACTTTTTGAAGTAACTTGCATCTTAAATGTTTTTGTACACAAAAATGTTCAAGGATTTGATCATTCTTTTAATAGCAGCTCTTTTCCTTTATGTTAATGTTCCTCACACCTTCATGCACCTCCCTTCCCCGCCTTCAGGTGCCGTGAACGGAGATATGATCCACGTGACTTTTGATGGCTGGAGAGGTGCCTTTGATTACTGGTGCCGCTATGATTCAAGAGATATCTTCCCTGTGGGCTGGTGTGCTATGTCAGGGCACCCTCTGCAGCCCCCAGGCCAGATGTGTGAGTGGCTTTGTTTTTCTTTTGGCCTTTTTAGAAGGGCCAATTTTTTTGGTAGAAATTATTTTCATTGGTGTTTGTGATGGCTTGACTTTCTTGCTGATTAAAAACTTTTTGAAGTAACTTGCATCTTAAATGTTTTTGTACACAAAAATGTTCAAGGATTTGATCATTCTTTTAATAGCAGCTCTTTTCCTTTATGTTAATGTTCCTCACACCTTCATGCACCTCCCTTCCCCGCCTTCAGGTGCCGTGAACGGAGATATGATCCACGTGACTTTTGATGGCTGGAGAGGTGCCTTTGATTACTGGTGCCGCTATGATTCAAGAGATATCTTCCCTGTGGGCTGGTGTGCTATGTCAGGGCACCCTCTGCAGCCCCCAGGCCAGATGTGTGAGTGGCTTTGTTTTTTCTTTTGGCCTTTCTGAAAGGGGTCTCCAGTGTTTGTTATGCCTTTATTTATCTTTTCACTCAATCATCATTGACATTTTGTTGGATACATTGTTGACTGCATTTCACTTTTTCCTCAGTAGGGTTCCTGAAGTTTATAAAAAATGGACTGTAAACACAGGAAAACCAATAAGTAACAAAAAGTAAAATAAACTTCAATGTAAACTTGTATACACATTTATTAACTTGCACTCTAGAACCTGTGTAAAGGTATGTTTGTGTGCACTGCTGACGAGACTTGCAGCATATGTGAATAGTGCACGTCTACTTTCCAGCCACTGAAACAGGATTTTACTGCCACACCAGCATCCTGAAGTGCTGCTGAGTCTTGATTTTGATTGACTTCCTGGACTCATTAATGAATAATGTTTGATGCAAACTCACCCAAACCTACTAGATAAGATGCGAATAATAAGAAGGAACAGAAGCAGCTGACAGGCAGATGATATTGGACAGTTATGAAAACTGGTGTGCTTAACCCAATGTCGCCGGGGAAAATAAAAAAAAAAATGGGGAAAATGCTGTGCTTATTTTCTATATTTTTGAAAAATGTCTGCCCATAGATGGCTCTGCTAGCGCCTGACTTAAAATGGTGGGAAAAACGTATTTTTCACTAGTGTTATGAATATCGATGGTGTTAATTTTATTATAAACATTATAATTATCATAATGTTTTTTAACATTAGTAACAGCAAAATAAGATAACGTAAAATATTTCGTAAATCAAAGAAAAGGGTAAACGGGCGAGACGGGCAGTACTCATAACTGGCTCATTGGTGATTTAGTACAAGTGTTGCTATCTGTGTGGAAAAACAATCAAACAAGTAACTCACAGTGGGCATAGCACGTACATACATGTGTTACCCGTCGGCATTGGGTTAACTTTTTAAATGAATTTTTGAAAAATGTTTTGAGCTGGCATTCTTTCTCTCAATGGCATCATATTGAACATGAAATGCATGACAGTGCTCACCCATCCGTCTCAACCACTCCTGATGCATTCACAAGAAACCTGGTTAAAAATGAAAAGACATGGATGGCTGAAAATGGGATACCCTCTCCCATCACCTTTTGAACCCATGTTCCTGACCCACGTTCAGCATGCATCCCTCTCAACTCATTAGGCAGTTGATAATTGCACTAGCTTTCATAACTTCTGCCATTTGCATTTCTTTTTGTATTTGATGAGAATGTAGGTATTATACTTTTAAATATTATTTTAAGAATATACAAATAAACCATATGCTTGATCAAACCACTGTTTATCAAGGGCCTGGTCAACGTTTCCCCCTTTTGTGATGTATTCCAATGGGATATTGTGTATCACTGTTCATCAAATCATTATTTGATCTATTTTTTTTATTTTTATTTTATTTTATTTTTTTATGTTAATGACAGAAAATAGGGATCCCCTTAAAATATTTTTTTCACTGTGTGATAATGGGAAAAATAAGGTAATTTGCATTTGTGGAAGGTGATGTATATTATCAAAATACACATCTTTTGACGGAAGATATGTATGATATTTTTACACCTTGTCAAAATGTATCTATTGTCTTTACTTCTGCCATATAAAATGGTGCAGTGCTCTATATTGTGTGCTTTTGCATTCCCCAATGTGAATTGCTTCCTTTGGTATCTGCAGGGGGCCCTCCCAGCAGCCGTTACAAGGCACGGGTCCTGAACATCCCTCCTCCCCTGGCTGGTTCCTCCAAGTCCCCGGAAGTGCCCTCAGCGACTGCAGCAAACGACAAGAGCCCCTCGTCTGTGGCCAGCTCGCCCCTGGCCAAGTCTGGTGGCCGTGGCAGGCACCACTCCCCCTCCCCACCTCCAGGCAGCCCCCCCTCCTCCCAGCCACAGTCCACACCCACCAAGGCAGGCTTGCTGCAGAACTCATCCTCATCAGCAAAGTCATCCACATCCACCTCTGCCAAGTCATCCTCGTTAAGTAAACCATCATCAACCAGCAAGTTACCCCCCTCATCCTCATCCTCGTCATCACCTTCGCCATCAGCTCCAGCGCTCACAGTCAGTCAGTCGAGCGGCAAGCCCACCTCATCTACTAAGTCATCTACATCATCGGGGTCGCCTGCCATGACCCCGCTCACTTCTACGCCCACCAAGACTCCTGCAGGATCGGGAGGATCGGAAGGTGTCAATAGCACCCCCAGTGCCAGCCAGTCCACTGTACCACTCCCCAATACGGGAACGTCAGCAGCCATCACGTCCTCCACCACGCCCTCAGCTCTCCCACACCCATCTAACCCCAGAACGCCTGAGCCCCCAACATCGCCTTCCATCACTTCCTCGCAGAAACCCCTGGGTGCCTCGTCATCCTCCACCACCTCCTCCTCATCGTCCTCTTCGTCCTCTTCGTCACCAATGGTTGCCGGGCCGGAGTCAACAATACCTGTTCCTCAACAAAAATCACCAAGTATAACAGTTACAGAACCAGATACCTCGACTGTCCACAAATTAAGTGCCTCAGGTATGTGGTTCAGGTTTCAAGTTGTTCATCTTGCAAATCTTCTGGAAAGTCTCATACATTCAATGCTTTTGGAACTACTTTTTTTTTTATTGTCAAAATATAACATAAACTTTCTCTCCAGTTGTCGTTTATGTTAATCATGGCTGCACGTGTGGACCATACCTGGACTCTGGTCGCGTGAGCGAGCTCCCTGTCCAGTTTGGGCCAGGGAGCCTCAACCGTGTTGTGCGAGAGTCTGTCCAAGCCCTGGTTGATGCCGCCCCTGACCCTCGTGCAGTCACTTCCCTCCTACCTCGTGGCAACGGCAAAGTTATTATCAAAGGTATTATCTGAGGCAGCTTTTTTTTTAACAAACTGGGAGGTTTAGGGAGTTCTAGCTTTTCCATTGCTTTGTGTATGCATTTTTTATTTTCCAAAGATGAAGGATATTGTAGTCCTTGTATAGTACGTGATAACCTATATCTAAGGAAATATTTGAACTGAGGAGATAGACAAGGGAGGAATCAATACCTTCCTTCTTCACTTTGCAGATGGGGATGCAGAAACCCATCGACTAACATCTCTAGAGAAAGTGGAGGATTTCTGGAGTGCTCTGGAGTCACTCTTTGAAGATCTGATGTGCTGTGAGAACTTTTACACACAGCAGCCAATCACCCAGTGTACCAAGTGTGCGCGGCAGAGTCCTGCACAATTCAAAAGGGGTAAGCAGGTTTTTTGTCCAATTCATGTTGTTAGGGTCATTTATTTTTGCAATATTCTTTCTGTGATTACTGATTTAGTTTGTCTGTAAAGATGGTACTAAAGTTGTGCCAGAATATTCAGTTAAGGGATGGCATAAATGTACCTGCCATGCCAAATGTGAATATAGTTTATGAATGGATGGCTCCACAAGTGCCTAGTCACCTGAGAGTCAATAACATGTACTACCTATCTCATCTGTTTACTCTTTTCCTTTATTTTTGGAAATATTCTATTGCCATAGTAATGTTGATAACATTATAGTAAACATAATGTCTTCAATGATAATAACATCAGTGTTGATAGCATTTAGAAAAAGAAAAAAAGATGAAAAATCAAAGGAAGGGGAAATCCTGTGAGGTCACAAGGTCTACTAGTTGAGGTCTTCACTTGTGGAACCGCCTGTGAGTAGAGACACTTCATAAAACAAAACTACGATGAGTATCATTTTCCCAGCAGCATTAGGCTAAGGCTGAGAAATTTTGAGCTTGAATTATTGTCTGCCCCCAGACCAAGAAGCAGCCCAGCATGTGGCAGTGTCCAACAACAAGCGACCAGCCTCCAGTGAGCCCAGTGATGTCCTCAGTCCATCAAAAGTTGCCAAACGAGTATTACAAGGTTAGACATTTTTCAAATGAACATTCTGATGTAGTTTTTTTTTTTTTGTATATTTTCTAATAAATGTTCATAGAGGGTGTTTTTGTTGAAGACCTGATATGTTTCCAGGTAAGACTGGCAAAGATCAATTTGAATAATGAACAAAGTATTGTCATTATTAACCCAGTGGATCCGGCTGCATCAAGGCAATCACATCACCAGAAACCTGGGCCTTAGGCTTATGTGAGTGGCTGCTTGTTGGCCAGGTGCACGCGAACACGTGCTTGGTGGCAAGACTCTGTGCCTCCTATTTGCAAAATTTATTCACATAAAGATTTTTAGACTTTTGGCCATTTTCCAACGTCCATATTTGCCATTTGATTTGCATTATCCAAATGGTAATATTTATATTTTTTTTCCTTTGCACAGATTCCAACCATCTTTCAAAGTAGTCTACAACTTAGTGCAAGAAAAATAAAACTATGTACACTATGTTACCTTTGTCATTCATTTTTTACGTATTTTTACGTCATATTCAGTTTTCTCTAAAACAACCTGTGTTGCCGGCGCCAGGAGTACGATGCTGAATATGGAATGGCGTCCTCCACAGAGCTGGCACTCTTCCAGTCACCGCTCACGGACATTTCATTCCACACTCGTACGTCGGTGTGAATGATGCAAAATATCCAAATGAGTAAAATAAACCTCCCAATAGGTCTCATCCATCACCCTGGCCTTCAGCCGCAATGCTCACGGTTGATGGCACCCGGCCTACAACCAGATTTTCCAGTGACGGCATGTGCACGTCACACACCCCTCAACCTGGATTATTTCATGATATGATGGTCGTGTCACACGGATCCAATGGGTTAATGTAATATAAAATGCTCACAATGTTGAGGTGTTGTTAAACATAGTTGAAGCTTTCTAATGGTGAAAGGATACTTTTCATAGAATTTGCTTTTTGCTTTAATTTTGCAGATACCAAGATATACTTTATTTTATCTTCCATTTGCAATTAAATACTCATTACCTGTCTTAATGTATGGGTGTAGATAACTGTATGTATATACTAGATATTAATTTATTAGTTTTGTTATTACTGTCAGAGCAGGCTCCATTTGTAAAGTCAAGTTTTGTCAGAAAGGAATCCTCTGTTAATCACTAGGGTTATGGTTCCATGCATTCATTGAACTCCAGTAGTAGACTGAGCAGTGGCGCTGTGGTAAAAGAATATTATTTTGCACATCTAGATGAATTTGGATAATGTTTTTTGAACCATATTCTCAAGTCATGCATTGATGCCCCACCTCTCTCCCCAGAGCCATCCCCCTCTTCAGCAAGCGAGCCTGGGCAGAGCCCCCGACCAAGAGGTGACCCGGCCGAGTGGACCGTGGAGGAAGTCATCACTCACATAGCGGCCACTGACCCTGCCCTGGCCAATCATGCTGACCTCTTCAGACGGCATGTGAGTCAACAAAGCCTATTTCTTGGCCAGAGCAGGACCCAGGGCTCGGCTGCTAATTATTACTCCTTTTGGTTTTTCTTGTCTTTTTTTTTTCTCTGTCCTCTATTAGAAAAAAAATAGTAATGTATATATCCAGTGTTAGTTTTGAGTTTTATTTTTTACAGCATTTGGAGTCAGTGACCCCTCATGGCTTGTTTTTAAATGTCAGTCTTTTAAGGAAATTTAAGATCAGCATTATCAAGAAATCACACTAACTTTGGCACCATACAAGGTATAAGATTAGGGCTTAAGGCATCTGCAGAATGAGACTGGATAAGACCTAAGAGACTTGAAACAAACTGGGAAGCCAATTTTCATCCTTGGTTCCAATAAAAGTTTGTAGAACTTGGTATACTATACCTGTTATTTAAAAACTCATTATAGATAGTTGGTTCACAGGATCTTCACATCCTTTGTTAGTCATCATCATAGTCATATAAATAAAGATTATATAATAATGTAATTTAATAATGATTATAATGATATTCCTTATTCACTAGTACATATTTATTATAATGTAGGCTTTAAAGGTTTGAAGAGCATTGATTTTCATATCTCATTTTATATATTTGATGATCGGGTTCCCATTTTTGTTTTGTGTCTGATAGTAGTTTGTAATAAAGGGTAAAGAAATGATAATATTCATTGAAAAGAAAACGGAGGGAGGAAAGAAAAGAGGGTGAATTAGGTTACAAGGAACTTCACTGGGAATGAGGCAAGACACATGGCAGATTGAGCTGCAGTAGCTCCATATTAGTTCAATTATATGTGCTCTTCCCCAGGCTGGTTTGCTACTCGTATCCCTGGTTCCTTTTGTGTCATGGTCTCTTATCATGCTTTGTTTCCTGTTGTTTTCTGTCATGTCTGCATTTTCTTGACAGGAGATTGATGGGAAGGCTTTGCTGCTGCTCAACAGTGACATGATGATGAAATACATGGGACTCAAGCTGGGCCCAGCCCTCAAGATCTGTAACCTGATCAACAAAATCCGTGGACGCAAGCACCTCGTCACCTAACAGCGCTGGAGCTATGTTTTTCGCCCAACGCCAGGCACCAGAGAGAGGAATTACTCAGAATTTTGTCTTGTGGAATCATTTAATGAGTGGCTTATCTTTAATGTTGTTTTATTTTTCATTGTAGTAGTTTTTTTATTTTTAAAATTAGAATTTTTTTTTTTTAGGTATGGGGAGTAGTTCCGTTATCAGATTAATTATTATTATTTTTGCTACAAAAGAAGTCTGGTTAAATCCCCCTCATAAAAGCTAACGTTCAAAGAGTTAAAGGAAAATTCGAGACATTAGGAGCAGCATAATGCACTGGAAACCTCTGGAACGAGATGTGAAGTAGACCTTTTTATGAAATGAAACATCCAAGTGTGACAAGCAGTTATGCCTGCAGTGGGTATGGCTTTCATGTGAATGACGGGTGGGCGTTCTACCTGCAGATTGAAGTCTAGTGGAAGCATTGTCCTGTTTATTTTTTTTCTTTTTTCTTTGGACACAAGACAAGCTCTGAGATTTCATGGATGTGTCTAACAGAGTGATGAAGGTGGTGACAATGCAACTTACTCTTTTGCTCTCATCTGCTGCTGTCTTTGGTTTGTGGGCAGTTGTTTTGTAAGCAAATGACTATCATAACAGGAGAACGAGCCTTACAAAGAAAAAAAAAGATATAAGATAGGAAGAAGATTAAAGAATTTATGTAGATATTTTTATATACAGTCATGCATTTATTGCTTACCATTGCTTGCAATTATAGTGCAAATTACTTTTTGACGTTTACAACTTTGTCGTGTTTGGTGCGTCCCTCTTGCCCCCCTCGCCCCCTTTCCTCCCTCCCTCCAATGACTCTCTCAATGTTGTAGAATCACCAGTAGTTGTATTTTACTCCTGTTAGGTGTTTCATATCAGCCGTGGAAGTGCGCGCTGGCCATATCAAAACTCACCGATCTTATGCAAGTAAAATCAAGACTTGGATAAAAGGGAGCCTGCTGTGTGGGGTGCCCGCCGTCTCAATGCCTCACACGTGACTTCCCTTGTCTTGTCTCTCCCTTGCCCTTATTCATCTTTTTCTCTCCTCCTCCTCCTCCTCCTCACACTTGTAGTCTTGCAGAAATCTTTGCATTTGCCAGTGGTTGTAAATGTTTACTTTTTCAACTTAGCTTTAGAAGAGCTGTATCACTTAAGAAGAAAAAGGAAAAAATTGTTTGTGAAATAAAGTAAAGCGATAATTTTGACACTATATTTTGTAAGGAGTAATTTCTATTAGTCAAGATATGACGTGGGAGTGTCTGCCAGCAACATTTATTGCAATTATGTTCTCTACTTGTAGAGGTTTAGGGATGTGTTGATCCTCTGAAATGTCTTCTCTTGTTTTGTCAAACACATTTCACCATTCTTTTCTCTTCCTTGCTGCAGGTAGGAGCAGTTGTCCAGGCATTTTTGTGTTTGATGCAGTCATTATTTACAAATGGGAGAAAAGACAGTAGATTATAAGAAGTTGATGTATATGGCAGTTACAGCACATTTCTTGCAGTAGAACAGTGCAGGAACATTTGAAGAAAGTTCAGTACTTTTTGTCATAAATACTAATAATCTCTTGTGCTCTAAGAATATGGACAAAGTCTCAAACAAATTATTTTATAATCTTGATTAAAAACATGAGATGGTTGGGGCTGCTTATTCAAGTGGATAGGTCTTTTAGTTGTTTTCCTGTTCAGAGTTGCGTGCAGATGTCACAAACTGGGTCCAGAGATCTTTCTACTGCTACATCTGTAAACTATGCCTTGGTAATTAGTACCTTCTAGAAGATCATCAAATGTATTTTATTTTTTTAATTAATGTATATTTATTCTTGAGTGTAGGAAGTTCTCTCTGGGATTGTGGTTGTCTGACATCAAGTCGAGCCATTGGGGTGAGGGGCATGTGGCTTTCATCGGCAGTTGGGAATGACAGGGCCCCTTATCCGTAAGGCCACAGGGTTGAGCTTGACTTGTATGGCATACTCCAGGGGACAAAGCATTTTGTCTTCAATTGTAGGAGTTCATTGGCTTTTTATTGTTTTGTTCCCCCAAATTTTAGACCAAATTCTTGCAATCCTGCTAACACACACACACTCCCACTTATGCTTACACTCACACTCACTCTCTTACACTCACATGCTCACTCAAACTCTGACTCTGACTTGTACACTCACACTCACAAACTCATCCTCACACTTGCACCTATACCCATGTCCATGCTTACACCCACATCTATACCCGAACTCGTGCATATATGCATGTACATATTCACACTTGATCACATGCATACTTGCTCAGTGACATACGCACACGCACACAAATAATAAATACCCCAGCAGTGTCCACATTTACACCCCTGGAAATGACCAGACCATTCCAAACATTCTGTGGAAGTTGATGTGAATCAGGTGAGGGCACAGGAAAAGCACTTGCTCATTCCACCAGGATGCCCTTGCAGAGGCTTGGAAGCTGAGCTGTAGAGGCAGTTTACTATTCCCATCTAATCATTTTTATCCCATGGCACTGAATTTAACATCACAAGGAAGGAGGGAGGACCCAGGCATTGTGGACTCTCCATGTGTGGCTGTGAGGTGTGTGTGCTTATTTTGAAAGGCTGAGAAAGTTTGTTTACGTGTGTGATATTGCTTTAAAGCATGATTATCCCTGAGCAGGGCTATTAACGAATGTATTATAGGTCATCTATTCCTAACATGTTGAGTTTCATTCTTTTGTCTGTTCTTTTGGTTTTGACTATATGTTAATGCTTGTTTACTTGTTTTGGATATTCCCAGAAAAGAACAGAGAGGCTTGGATATACAGGATAAGTCATTTGTATCCAAAGGTACAACCTGAAGGGGCCCACCGTCATATTAACCATGTGAGTTTCGTGCTGATGTTTCATGCAGCACAAGTTGATTCCTCTTGGATGGGTGAAGCCGCAAAAGTACAAGACAAACTCGCGTGGAAAGCACACGCTTCTGTTTATAATGTATCCCAGAATTGATTGAGATTATTTTCTCTCTCTTCTATTTTTAGTGCGTGTTACTTTAGTATTTCTCCCCGTGTCCCCAGATGTGAAGGGGTTCAAAATTTGTGATATTAGATTAAGGCTGGTCTGCGTGATGCTAGTACAATTTTAAAGTTCATCTAAGACATACTTTTCTGATAAAAGCTACAAATGACTTCACAGATGCTAGCCTTTGCATATTTTTAGCTGTGAAAGCCACAGAAAGATGGGGCACAGCAACCGCTCAGCTTGTGTCTAGGGTGAAGGCGGAGAGAGATGGTGGTGGTGGCAGGAGCTGCAGTTGAGCTTGGCAGGATAACAGGACGCAATTCCAACCACACAGGAGTGCCGAAATGGCCAACTAAGATGTTCCTTTTGGTTGAATTTATTTTCTCTGATGAATATCATCCAGCATGTAGTTGACAGGAGCTGAGGTTGATATTTACAAAGTTCAGTTTACAAGGAATTTCATCCTCGGCTTAAGAAAATACAGCTTTGCCAACAAAGGAGTTCTAGAAGTAAGCCTTGGATTTGAGTTTGCCTTTTTTGTTTTTCTCCTTGCTGCAGCCACTGTGTGATAGGTATTCCTTTATCTGAATAGGTTGTTCATAATTTCATCAGATTTGTTGCCAAAATGTGGAAAAGAAATTCTTGTTTATTTTACTTGCACTGTAGACACTGCAATTACATATTTTATACCAAGTCAGGAATCCTTCCATGTAAGATTCTCCTCCAAATCTGTTTAATTGTTGCTTCTTGGAAGGCAGGAGACTACCAGAGGCCTTGCTGCCTTTCATCTAGAGGCAGTTGCAGTATTGCATCTCAGGCACTGTAACTAGTGTATGCCCCAAGATGTTCAGATGCACTAGAGACTAAGTGTTGATACAAGTCCTGTTTTAGAGAGATGAAATCTGAATATGGGAGAACACAAGAAGGAAGGCAGGATGATCACTTAAAGTGTTACTGTGGCTTTAAGTTTGTTTTGTCTAGGGTGACAATGATCAGGAGGTGGCAACCCACATCACCATAGATTTCGTGGGAGTATGTATGCCTGCGATTTATCTTTTTGCCTAATATTTAGCAGTAGAGAGTGTTAAAAAGACTGACAGGAAAAAAGTGAGAGAAAAAGCGAGAGAGAGAGCAATAGGGTTGAGTCATTAGTGAGATATTAGTTTAATTAAAGAAGAAGAAAGTGAATATGTAAGAAAGAAAGTGAATATGTAAAAAATAAGAAAAATGTTAAAAAAAAAAAAAAAAAAAAAAAAAAAAAAAAAAAAAAAAAAAAAAAAATTGCCTTGGCACATCTTACAAAGAAAAGCAACCCAATTCATGTTCTCAGTCTGAATGGCAAGGAAAGTTTTCCTTGTCTCTCATTTCATCACTATTATTATAGTTTGTTTTTATTTTTATTTTTGCCCCAATGATTAAGGATCAAAAGAAAAGATGTTCTCACTATGAGGAGGAAAGTGGATCTGTTCGCTGTTTTTCGTACCAGCACTGGAGTCCCTGACTTTGTATACATAATTGCTGGGAGTCATTGTAAACATTATGTAATATATTTGGAAATTAAAGTTAGACTCTTATTATCCTCAGTTCATTTTTGCTGTGTTGAGCACTTCTGTTTTATACTTTGTTCAGAAGTATTATGTTGTGTATACAAATTGGTAATCTGATATATATATGCACTAAAACAAAATAATAATTCATTAACTGACAAATGAAGCAGGTATATGTTTCTGTCATTATTTTCCCCCACCTATTGTTTACTGATTGTTGTCTGGGGCGGAGACAGTGACAGAGCCCCATGGCTGAGTATCTCCCCTACCTTATGCCACAGCCCACGATTCAACTAATTTTGCATAGCCTTTTCTTCTTCCCCTTTCCCTTTATCTTCTCCAGACCTTCCCGTCTAATTTCTCCTAAGGTGTGAGAGCCATGTTGAAAGGATGTAAGGATGACTTTGTGCCAGTTGTGAACGGCCTCAGAGAACATGGGAACATTTCTCCCTTGGTTAACTGTTGAACCCTTATCCATCATAGCCAGTAATGAAGATTTTGTGCCCTTATCAGGGGAAGTGAGACTTGCTCCTTGATCAAGTAGCCTCACTGAATCTAACTCCTCTGGGTTTCTGACCCTTGACTCTCCTTTGATCGTGGTTCTGACTGCTGCTGCTGCTACTGCTCGCTGGCAAACCTGTTCCTGCCCAACCCCACTCCACTGGGCAATCAGCCTCTGTGGTCAGTCTGTGCAGATGACCTACTTGCCTGCCCTGCAGACTACGATGCGGTCTCAGAACAGTGCTACACTATTCCACCCCCAGAGGCTGCTCTAAGTCCCACATCAGTATTACCAAGATTACAATTTTAGACATGACCTTCCCCAGAAGGTCTATGTAGGAGGATTACCCTGTCAGACCATATTAACCCCCACCTTGTCAGTGTCAGAAATGTTGGTGTATTGGCCACCCTACAAA